AAAAAGTAACTAGGTAAAAACAAAATTAGAAAAACACAAGAAATAAACCTGAGAATAATGACGTCACCAACGACTGGTTATCTCGAATATAACGCTCCCACGACTGAAAAACGTATTAATAATTGAAGAACCTCCCCTTTATGCTCAAAATCTGTAGCGCCTTCGCCAGTACACTATCCACTAGGAAACAGTACTTTTGCAATTTCCCCGCAGCTTCTTTTTCATTGTAAAGTGCTCTGAGGCTCGTACTAGTTCCATAATCAATTTACGATTTTTTTCCAAAATTAAAGCAGAGAGTATCACCACATCTGGATTAGTCTTATGACGGAGAATCTTTCAATAAAACTTTTTGCACTCTCACCTTCTCTGCCTTCTCTTCATCTGTCGCGGCGTCTTCGCAATTGCGATCCTCGTTGTCGCTGGTTGTTGCTTCGCTTTCAGCTGTCCCTTCTGAGCTTTCGCTATCTCCAGCGGAATTATTATGCTCAATACGAGCTACACACGTATGGAACCGCTCGATAAGAAACGACACGAATTCTTGACAGTCGTGCTGCTCACCATCGTCAAATTGATCAGCAAATCGTACAGCTTCCTGAACGCATGATTTTTATATTGCAGGTTTCTCCAAAGAGTAAAAAGCGCGACAGTTAGTACTGTTATAGCAACATCAGTAGAGATACGAGTAAAAGCAAAAGAAAATTAGATAATACACAGATAATTCATTGGTATCAATATCACTGAAGCATGCATACTGATACGCCTTACTCTTTGAACCGTCTAAACGAACTCACATTGAAACTATTCGGAGAAATATTCTTCTTTTTTGCCGCCCACATTTCTTTCAGCAGTTTCGAGTACTCCAACGTCGTAGCAAAAGACTCGTTGTTATTAGCATCTCCTCTGAAATTGAATATTTCTAGGTAGAGTATGGGAAAAAAGAAGCAAATATGTGCACTAGTTCTTTAAAGTTCGGAAATAGCAGGCTACTAAATTTTGTCACACCAGCTTGTCCTCTAGAAAATGGAAATTTGCATTGAAGACAACTAACTTTTTCAATGCATTTAAGCTTGCTTCATTCAATAAGTATTCTGTGAGAGGCGAAACTCGTGCGAGACATTGTATAGCGGCATTACGGTAGCAGAAGTTGCCAGAATTCACAAGACCTACGGCACCTGGACGGCCTGAAAAAGATGATCATGCGCATGGCGCCACATACAAGCAGAGCTCCTTCCTCACGAAGATCATTTAAATCCAAGAAAATTAACTTAAATAAAAACTAATATCTGATCGCTGTTCTGAACGTGTTAGGTGCAGATAACTTCAGCAACTTTTTCGAAATAGTAATCTTGCTAGACGAATCTCACTTCAGAATTATTTCATACGGATACGGTAGTAACCCCAAAAGGTGTTGGTTAGTGCTGAATGCGAACTCCTTTTGGGCGTACCA